TTGCAAGTAGGTGTATATATTCCTAGTAGATTTTTGCTATTAACTCGCCAGGAAGAGAAAAAAATATGGTATTTTTTCGCGCTACGATGTGAAGACCTACCAAGTATTTGGTCGTTTCGCCGGCTATATGACCTCAGAGCATACCATATTTTTCTAAGAATAAACAAAGGCACGCGCGAAAAAAAAATGTTCTAGTGCATTTTTATCGATTTTTTACTCTTTCGTGTTACGGAGGACATTATCTTGACCTCGAATTAAAAAAAAAGTATTTAATTTTTCCGATTTCATTTTCACAATTTATTTTTATCCAAACCCTGTGGTTCTTAGAGTTGATCCTTGCTTCTCCACTAAGGGAGTTTTGCTCGACACTAAGAACGGCTGCTAAGGAGACTAGCTGTACGCAGACTAAATTTCTAATGGCCCCCACCCCCCACCCCTAACGTTTGCATTTGTTGTTTTGCTAGCTTTTTTTTACCATTGCAGAAACCAATGGACGAAAAAACCTTCACTTTGTACTACCCTTAAAATAATCTTCTTTAGTTCTGATAGCTACTTTTCAAATCAAATTAGAACTTTGCGTCTTGAGTGTTTTCGGAGTTACGAAAACCGAACGGAACTATGATAAAAAAAACTTTTCCTTCGTACTGCAAAAAAAAGACTAAAAAAAACTTTTTGAAAAAATTATCCATCCCCCCCCCCTATTAAATCATGTATCCGCCTTTGGGATTTTCTAATAAACTCTGGAAATATTTAAAAAATATGAAGTCTTTCAACTCAACTTCATTTAGCCAATCCTATCATCTACTAAACATGCACCACGTACACATTGATGGTGTTTGACGGTTGACCGACTTAGCCAGCTGTCTTTTTTAACGAGGAATGTTGCTTTTTATGGTTTTTAAGGCGGGCTATACCCATCTTTTATTTTTAATCAGAATTTACACTTTACGAAGATTTGTCACTGGAGAACAAGAAATGAATGACATGGTTGTTATTTCTGGATTGCGTATTTCTTCTTCCCATTATCGTTGATAACGCAAACATGCTGTGCGAAAAAATAAATAAATATCAGTACATTAAATTCAAATTGAATTCCACCTAAATCCCTGACTTAGATCAGCCCAGAGGTTGTTTCAGGGTTCGATCTGTGCGGTAGCCGTGCCCTGACTTAGATCAGACCAGAGGTTGTTTCAGGGTTTTATCTGTGAGTTAGCCATGCCCTGGGCCGGGTTGTTCAAAGCGTTAACACAGGATTAGCACTAATCGGGCTTTGAACGACTGGGCCCTGGATTAGATCAGACCAGAGGTTGTTTAGGGTTTGATCTGTGAGTTAACTGTGCCCTGCAGATCAGCCCAGAGGTTGTTTCAGGGTTCAATCTGTGAGTTAGCCGTGCCCTGACTTAGATCAGCCCAGAGGTTGTTTAGGGTTTGATCTGTGAGTTAGCCGTGCCCTGACTTAGATCAGCCCAGAGGTTGTTTCAGGGTTCGATCTGTGAGCTAGCCATGCCTTGACTTAGATCAGCCCAGAGGTTGTTTAGGGTTTGATCTGTGAGTTAGCCGTGCCCTGACTTAGATCAGCCCAGAGGTTGTTTAGGGTTTGATCTGTGAGTTAGCCGTGCCCTGGATTAGATCAGCCCAGAGGTTGTTTAGGGTTTGATCTGTGAGTTAGCCGTCCCCTGGATTAGATCAGCCCAGCGGCTTGTTTCAGGGTTTGATCTGTGAGTTAGCCATTCCCTGACTTAGATAAGCTCTGTATTTGAGGCTAAGCCCCGTGCACATTCTAAAAGTTATGGTACAGACCATTTAACTTCACTGTCTGCTGTGCACATTTCAGACCATGTGATGCCACTTTTGGGAGTTGATTCTTTCATGTGTAAATATTTTAACATGTTCATCACAAAAGAACAATTCTCATGGGAATGTCACGTGGTCTGAAATGGGGCAATTTGCTTTCAAAGACTTTGGTGGAAAACAATGAAAAACTTGACTCAAATTCAGTTTGAAAGCATACTTACGTTTAAGTCACGGAAGTACTCATTATAATCCTGTGAGAATAAAAACAATTATAGAGTTATAAGAGAAAAGTACAAACAAACAATAGAGAAACAAAAAGTGAAACAAAAAGCACAAACAAAGATAAAAAATAAAATAAACTAACTAAAATATCCACCCAAACAACAGAAAAACAGGAAAGTCACAGAGGAAAAAGGTCTTACCAAAGCGTAGCCCAGAATAAATTCATCTGGTATTTCAAACCCAGTATCTGAAAAATATTACATTTTTTTAGCTTTATTTGTACGAGAAAACAAAAACGAAATTGGAGTTTTGTAGTTAGATGTAGGTTAGAAGTAGATGTGACTGGACGTCAGTCAAGGCGTCTCCATGAACTAATAATGGCACAAATGTTATGGAAACACTTTGATTAAACAAATAATTTGAAGATGGATGGATGGAACAGCATAGCATCCAGCTAAAGAATTCTTTTATCAGGATATATTTACAGGATGCACTTACAGTCAGGTCGATAGCCACAGCTGCGGGATGTTCTTTTGACAAATAAACTGTAGATGAAGAAAGGAAAGTCATGTTATTTGAAAAATAAAGTAATACTATGTATTACTGTTTTATTTATTTATTTATTTTCACAGTTTTTTAAAGTTATTTATGAGTTTATTGGCCTAATTGGAAAAAAGTTTACCTTTATTAGTTACCCAATAAAAATATCATTATTGTTGTTTTTATTATTAGGAACAGCAAACGACTGGCCGAAACTAGAGAACCCAAGGCCATACATGTAGAGTATTTTCATGTGAAGACACAGCAGCCATGTTGGTGTACCAAATAAACTTTTTTTATTCTTTAAAATTTAACTCTATTAGTTTTATGCAAAAATTGTGCAGAAATTTTCTGTTGTTTGGTACRCCAATATGGCTGCCTTCTTGTGTGAGTGAAAATCCTCTATATAGGGGTGCTAGGCAGTGCACTCTGTCATCACAAATGGACTATGAACCCTAGAAAAAATGGTGGGTACTTGGATAGTTATTTCCTTTTGCTATTCTCACTTAATGTTGAAAATATATTATACAGGTAAAATCAACATAATCAAGATTTACCTGACAACCTTTATTACGGCAGGTTCATACTTTTTAAGTGTGTTTAATAGTTTCACCATCGTTGCTCCAGTATCAATGATATCCTAAATGAAAGAGAAAGTAATAGAGATTTATTGGAGCTCCCCAGCTATTGGTACCTCAATTTACACCTAGTCTCCTACACAGCAGCTATTAGTTTCGTCACGCAACGCTCACCAATTTACACCATGACATATATAGTGGTTTCGAAGACTGTGCCCATGTGCCACAGCATTGAGAAGCAGTATTTTAGAAGACTTTATAAAATGCTGTTTCCTAATGTACAAATTTATGGGGGGTGGGGGGGGGGGGATACTTGACCCCATTTTGGATAGGTGTGCAGTCAGAGGTATAAAACCCTAACCCTATTTAGGACACTTCAGAGAAAAAAACCCATACCCTATTTAAGACATACAAGTAATTGTATACCTCATACACTTCACCCAGTGTTATAGGAGTTCAATAACAAAACCATCAGGGATCTGATATCTTTATCAGGACCGAAGAATGAGGTGTTTTGTTGCCATTAAGTACGTTTTGTATAAAATAGTACCCTATCCAAGACACACAAAAACATGAAATATACGATCTTGCTTCAATATTAGAGATCCTGTTTAAAACGATTTTGTTTATGTATACCCTGTGTAACACAGCAAGGCCAAAAACCAAACCCTATCCAGCGACACATACCCATATAGCAAATATATGCAAGTATCCCCCTCCCACCAGAAAAATATCAATTTTTTAGATAGCTTTTTAGAGCCAAGGCTTACCTCAACAACAAGAACATTCTGAAATAATAATAATAAAAAAGATTTGAAAACTAATGCTTTGACATAATAGAATATTATTTTACCATTATATTTTTGTTTTCAATAATCTTTTGTTTCAAGTAATCCATGCAGTTTCAAAATTTTTTTGGACAGGGTTAGGTATCAAAGTGTATATATAACTTGCTAAAATTGTGCATTCTTTATTTCACTGTTGATATTAATCGTGAATACTTATAAACTGAAATGATGCTAACCCCATATAAATGAGTCTGTGATCAAAGAACACAATGGCATTTAACTAAATCAAAACTTTTTCTATGGTATTCTCTTTTCAACTAACCTTTCCTTTCAAAGATGCTAAGTTATCGCTGCCCAAGATTTTAACTTCTCCAGAGGAAGACTCATCCTGGATATCAAATCAAAGAGTAAATAAAACTCACATAATACTTATTATCCAGTATAGTTATGCACAATGGAAAAAGCTCACCTCATAACTTTTAAGACGAATAAAGTCCACTGAAAGAGGAACTGAAGTTTCTGTGAACAAAATATTTGAGAATTAGTTTCGATCCAGTCAATCACTGTGTTTAATTTCCTAAAGTTGTTGATAACATCTTAGCTTTCTGTACGTTTTGTGTTATGTAGATTACATCTTGGCTTTTGGTTTCCTGCTTCTGAATGGCTTAAATTTGAATGCTTTGCTTTCATTCTACACTATGATTGGTTAACTTTATAAAATGATAAAGGAAGCAATGTTATTGTGTGCTGGTCATGCTTCCCCTTTCATCCAACTAAGCAGTGAATTTTGTTTTAGCTAATCACAGTGCGTTTAACTGTTTTGCTGCCGACCCTTATTCCCAGGCTGCTGCGTAACCCAACTTTTGCATATTTTTCTGTTTTCTTTTGACTAAAATATAATATGCATGCCTACAAGAAGCAAAAATATGGAAAGGAAGAATAAAAACAATATTATTTCACTTTGCCGTCATATTCGCTTTGCATTTTTAAAGCTTAGGGCCAGTAATTTTGTCCAATCATGCTTTATGCTCTGCATTCACTGCCCAGCTGGACTAGCATGGTCTTGGATTCCATCCCCGGACTAACCACTATAAGCTGTTAGTTGGTTGTTTCCTGTACTAGCTTAAAGGGTTTTTCTACAGGTTCTCTAGTCCCTTCTCTACAAGAAATTACTTCTAAATTGTAATTTCACTATGAAATAAGGCCTACAGGTTTGTTACCCTAGCGCTGGCTATCAAGTGCTACCTTTGTAAAACAAGGATGATTTTTAAAAAATCCATTTATTGAAGTATCTGCATAGTAGTTATGCTAAATATCAATTGTTACCTGAATTAGCATTCAAGGTGCGAATGTACTCCATTAAGTCGGCAAAGAACTGATAACCACCCTTAAGAACACAAAGTCCAACCAGCGCCCCACCTGGCTGCATGTCTCGTGATATGTCTCTAGCAAGGCGCTCGGTTCTATGAGATAAACCATAGTTCATTCATGAATGGAAAACAGCAAGACTACAAAATATTATTGCAGCATGTTAGTATGTGCACTGGGCATGGCTAATCGGCATTTCAATCCTGATGCACAATTGTGACATATCATCCATGGAAAACGATATTAAAATCTTTTTTAAGTTAATATACCTCATCGTTAACTAGTAAAATATTGCTATTTCCTACCTGTCAAGTAGTATGCCTCTTGGGAGCATAACATGCTTTAGATCATCTTGGTAGTGCTTTGGGATGCTGAACATATCCAGTGAGTACCCTTGGTACTCATCAGGTACCTATATCAAAAAAAAAWATCAATATTTAACAATTATTCTCCGACTTGAAGGCGAAGTGGTTATCAGTGAATATTTACCGAGCCATGATTCTTTGAGCTGCAAGGTAAATATTCACAACAATCATTTAGCCTGAGGTGAATAATTGATTTAGTATAATAATTTTTAGACTTCAATATCAGAGAAAAGATGAAATTCAAGATAAAAAAACGCTTTTTGTATCAATTCTGCTTTGGCAAACTTTGTGAAACCTCATAATCACTGCTCAAGCAATGATTATCGTCTCAGAATCACTGGTTGCTCGACCAAAGTGCTCAAAACTCTATATTATTCAAGTTTAAAGTTCCACTAAATATATAATGATTATCTTATGAACTATTTCAAAAAAGGTTGGTGAAGGTTTAGTTGCATGTCAAGCCCAAAATGCAGGAAGCGCAATGAGAATGCAATCAGTGAAAGGCCACAACAATATGTAATTTTCTCAAACTTTTTCTGCATATTTTTGCAGCATAATTTTTTTCTGTGTTGACATCATTTGTTACATATGATCTACAATATATTTTGGGCTTGTGGTATAAAACATGAAACAAAACTGTCGCCAATTGAAATGTAAAACATGCTGAGTAACAGGTCGATCTGTGAGTTTGCTAAGCTCTAATCATGACTTAAATCAGCCCATGCAGTTGAACGTTTATCTTACAAATTGTTATTGGCTTTTCAATTTGTAAAGTTCAACTATACAGATGACCATTGCTCGCTAGCTCTCAGAAAGAAAGAAAAAAATGGATTTTTCATTATTGCAGCATTTTTGAAGAAGAGTCAAGATCCCCAACCCCCCGACCACTCCCACCCCCTCCCCCCAGATATATCCAGGCCTATRAGGGTAGCAATGCAATGTTAGTGCGTCATAGGTTTCCGAACATATGAGGGAATTTTTCAAGGATTTGGTTCTTTTGCACTTAGAAAAAAAATTCAATGACAGGCAAGATTCGAACTTCCCTGCTAGCAGAGTCTCTCTTCTCTTTCTCTCCCTTCTTTCAGGCGGGAGGAAGGAGACTGCTGATGTAGAGCATTTCCGTTGATACACAGCTGTCCACGACGAACAAAACCAGTTTTAAAACCGGTTTTTAACTGATTACATGTAGTGCACATGAGAAAATCTAACACACCGTGGGGCCAAACATTGTTTGACAAGAGCAGCTGTCATAATCATGACAGCATGTCTAAGTTACACCACACATGCACGACAGAAATAACGCCCTACATCAGCAGAGTCTATTTTTCTCTCTCAACCAAAACAAAAGGAAAATAGGCTCCGCTAGCAGGGAAGATTCCAACCTCTCACCCTTGAAATCAAATGCCATTCCAATGCCTATCTTATCCCTAACCACTCAGCCACGAATGAATTTTCTGGATCTTTCCGATTTTTGAATGCACAAAAGTATTTATTATAGTATAATATATGTTATCGTGACACGACTGCTAGGATAATGAATTTTTGAATTTGAATAGAATTCCCCTGACAATACCTGCACACCACGATACTACCCGTATATATAAGCGTTAAAATCCGCTAAAATAATTTACATTAATTTTAAATAATTACAATTTTCTTTGAAAAATGACAAGTAATAATGCAAAAATAAGTAATAATAACATATGTAAACTTAAGCTTATCATGCCGTCAAGGCATTGCAAAACAAATAGCCAACCGAACTCAAAATCAAGCTAGTTCGGCACAATATTGCTTAGTTATGAACGTGAAAAACGTTTATCACGTTAAAATGTAGTTCCTACCGTTATGAATTTATTTCCAGCCATATTTTCTGTATAATTGCTGAACCTTGACTTAATTCTTCAATTTCAACTTCCAAGTATAAGAATTTGATCGATTCTCGCACTTTCGAACCATGTGCCTGAACACAGGAAGCCCATGCTAACAAAAGGAGCTTGGAAAATTGAATAAAGCCAAATCACTTATTTAGTGATAAGAAGAATGTTAATTTTACATGTTAATGAATTAAGCTTTAATTTATTTTCGATTTCAAGTACAAAAGTACAAAAATATTAAGTACAAAAAAGTACAAAAGTACAAAAATATTTACAAATCTACTGAGTAAGGACCCTCAGTAAGAATATTTCGTTAAGATGAGCTGGGCTTCCTGTGGTTGGATTGGTGCCCTGACAAGAGTTCCGGGCACACGCAGCCCATTGTATTTGTGGTGTGTATGATATCATTTACAGTAAATGTATGGGACGAAAAAATATGTAGTCTATTCATGTTTAATTGTTGACTAGATTACAAAAAATGCTCTAAATCAACTAAAACCACCCAGAATGACGTTAAAGACAATTAACAACAACACAGGAGCAAAGTATGTTCAATTTTTTTGCAAAAAATACATATTTTTCCATCCTATGTAAATGCACACACCGCAAATACATTCCTTGGGCTGCCTGTGTTTCGGGAATTGTTACAGTCACGATATATCTTTGTCATGCTTTTTATTTTATTTATTTTTTCTATTAAAGTTGTTTTTTACATTCTAGAAATTATTTATCATTTCTATATCATATGGTGTCATGCTATTAGTTTAAAATGTGCAAATGAAGCCTTTTGATTGTCGTAACAAATTCAGCTTTAGCGGATGATAGCTGTAAATAAAAACAAAACAAAATCAAAAATGAAATATTGTACCAATAAAAATTTCTTCATTCAGGTGTGCACACGTGTGGCCCCTCGAGCTGAGACAGACGCGTTGCGAGTTATGATTGGTTCAAAAACGCGTAACATGTCGCATGCTGATTGGCTAATATTCTCTTTGTAAACGGGAATCCTCAGCAAGCAATTTGTTGGCCCCAAAACCTGCAGCTGAAATATGGCTTTTCTGCAAAAAATAACCTACTTTCTACTCTTATTTGTCCTTCTTTCTGCTTGCTTAACACATGCAGAAGAAGAAACCAAGGAAGAAAAGCTAGAACCGGTCGAAACAACTACCTCAGAGGAGAGTAAAACTGAAGAAGAGCCAGTGAATGAAGACGAGATCAAAGAGGAAGATGATGTTCTGGTCTTGACTGCTAAAAACTTTGATAATGCTATTGAGAAGCATAATGATATTCTCGTAGAATTTTATGCTCCTTGGTAAGTATAGTTTTCTATACTCTGTGCAGGTATATTTACTTTTTGTAAAAAGTTTTTATAATTTAGGAAGTTTTGCTTCTACTATTATAGAATTTAATGTTTGTCCATTGTACTATCGTAGAATTTGTACCACAACTATTTTGCTTCGCTTCTTTAGTTTCTTGAGTGACGATTGTATACTCTATATTTTTGCAAGGTTTTTAAGTCTTAAGTGTAATTACTTATAATGACTTAGTGAGAGTTCCCTCTTAAGCTTTACATGAAATGTAAGTGAGTGTTTTTAAAAACTTTTAAACAGCTGGTTCGATTTACTTATCTGGTTTCTTTCTTTCTTTCTTATTTTCTTTATTTTTTGTTGTTGTTGATAATTTTAATTCTTTAGAATTATACAACTTCAGCTTATTTCATCAAGCCAATGGTCTTCGTTTGAAATCACAAACAATTTAAAAAATATACTGTATTGTTATTATTCTCGAAAACAATGATTGATACTTGAAAAAATTCTTAAAAAGGAAATAGTAAGAAATGATAATGGCAATTAAGATAAATACTTTAAGAAAAAAACTCATAACTTTTTCAGATAATGCTGATTTATTTGGGAGCTTTTTTAAAGATCATTTATGTATCATTGTTTTTAGTTGTTTTTATTTTAATCCTTTAATGAATCACATAATTAGGTAGTATAGTTGTCTAGTATTGATATGGAAAAAAGGGAATGGTATTTTATAGGGGCGTCCAGTTACTGAGAGGTTTGAGCCTCATTTATTACACATTTCCTATTTTTGTCCATTTTGGTTGGTATTGTAATCATCCAAAAGATCATTATTGAAACTAATCCTTGCATTACACATAAATCGTACATCATTTGCTTGTTTTAAAAACTGTCAGCTGTGTTTGGTTAGATGTCCCTCTTGATTGATCACTTTTTTATTGTCTGTCTTGCTTTCTTACTATTCATTTACCCAAATCTATTAAAACTAATCAAGGAGTATTCATTATTCTTAATTGGAGAAATGGGATATTCATTTCTTTGTTATTACATGTCACACATTTCATTTTTGGCTAAATAACATCAAATTAGAGGAAGACTTTGCATCAATACAATAAGAACAATTGTCTAGCTAATTGTCCAAAATTGTACTACTGAATCACAGGAAGCTCAAGCAAGGTACTATTGTATCTCATAAGAAGTTATGTATGAAGATGTGTGTATTGTAAGGATATATTAAATATATTCAAAAAGCTGGTAAGCCAACGTGCTTGGGCCTCCTGTGTACCTAACAATTGCAAGGACCTTGAGCTCTAAATTATTTATCTCCTTTGACTTTAGGTGTGGACACTGCAAGTCTCTTGCTCCAGAGTATGCCAAAGCAGCCAAGAAAATGAAAGCCAATGATCCTCCTGTTGCTTTTGCTAAGGTTGACGCTACTGTCCACTCTGACCTTGCACAGAAGTATGATGTCAGTGGCTACCCAACACTGAAATTCTTCAAGAAGGGAGAAGTCCATGATTATGATGGCCCAAGAAATGAAATGGGTAAGTTAATTTTTACAAGGAAAGATTGTAATCATGTAGCAAGTGTGAGAATCAATTAAGTGTGCATGGCATAAAAAGTTCAGTAGTTTGATGTGGGGTCTCAGGTTTGATTTCTGAACTTAATTTTTTTAGAAATAACCTCTACATAAAATAAAAATTTGAAAGCCTTAATAGTTAAGAGTGCTATCTTAAACAACTAAACATGTGCAATTTAAATTGATGTTCAATTTACCATGCTTTCCAAGGGATTATTGATTACATGAAGAAGCGTGCCGATCCAAACTGGAAGCCACCACCACCTGCTGTCCTAACACTAACAAAACACAACTTTTATGAAACCATCCAGAAAGAAAGTCTAATATTGGTCGAGTTCTATGCACCATGGTGAGTCTGTCTTTATTAGTTATTTTTAGATTGAAATAATAATATACATTAAGGATGGACAAAATAATGAAAGACTATATAATGAAAAAAAGAAAAACGTGAAGAGCAGGTGGGGTGGCTGTGTATTGCACACTCTCCTCTCACCCTATGTTGTCTCCTGTTTGATCCCTAGACTTACCCTCACATGTGAATAGCAAGTTTTTTCCTCTAGCTTCTCTAGTTTTCCTCCCTAACATAGTAAAATCCAATCAAATCTGTGAAGTTAGCGATGCCCTAACACAGATAGATCAGCCCACACAGAAAAAAAACCCGGATTCCCAAATTGGGAATTTGTTGGGAATTTCCTTGAATTCCCCTCGAATTCCCATCCAATTCCCAGAGAGAACAAAATTGGGAACGTGGCACTGATTCCCAATGTTAGTTTGTGGGGAATTTTGTTTTCCAATAGGCTATTAGAAGGAAATTCCCAACAATAAATCCCAACCTTGGTGTTTGAATTGGGATTCAAGGAAATTCCCAACAATTCCCAATTTGGGAATCCGGTTTTTTTTCCTGTGCCAGAGAATGTTTTAGAGTATTGATAAGATTAATTGGAGTTTTTTGGCAAATAAAATCTTTGCCAGCAGATAGATAGAGAGGGATGGATTTTTTCCCCCTTAGATTTATTTAGTCATTCATGGAGGACTTCATTCCTAAGGAGTCTGCAAGGGCAGCACCTAATAATTCTTGAAAATCCCATGTATACTTAAATACAATAATTTTATCTTCTGTTTAAAAAAGAACCTAAATTCTAGCTACACATTACAAGAACAAGCAATTCAGTTACTGAATGAATGAATGAATCAATCAATCAATCAATCAATGCAACATACTTTGAATCCAATAAAAATTGTTTTAATGTTAGATACATGTAATTTAAAACATCTAAAATAATTTTTTTTAACTAGGTGTGGCCACTGCAAGTCTCTTGCACCAGAATACGAAAAAGCTGCACAGGAGCTGAAGAACAATGATCCACCAATTCCTCTGGCCAAGGTTGATGCAACAGAGGAGTCAGAGTTGGCTAAAAAATATGATGTACAGGGGTATCCTACTTTGAAAGTCTTCAGGGCAGGAAAGCCATCAGAATACAAGGGAGAAAGAAACCAATATGGTAACTAATTAAGTTGTTAACATGTTCAGACTAAGGAAAAATTCACACAACAGTCTCAAATGTTCTTGATAGTTTCTCTAATTTAGCTGCAACCGTCAGGGACTCCACATTTGACTGTACTCATTATTATATGCCTGTGGGGGAGGGGGGAGGGGGGAGGGGCTGGAGGGCAGTTAAAAATGTTTAATTTGGAGTATCTGAAAATTATTTGTGAGTTCAATGGGTAGATCTCAAAATTGTAGATATTATTGAAAGTAATTGTCAGCCCTCCCATTAAAAAAGTCACCCTCTATTGACTTTTTTATTTTGAGGCAAAGATAGTATGACAAAAAACCTATGGCAAAGCAAATGGGTTTTTGCTTAATGCATGCCTTTGACGTAGAAATGATGTCATTGCAAAATTGAGGTGTTATGAACCTGTGAAAATTGACCAAAGAAAAATAAATTATTAATTACTCATTAATTATTGTAATTATTGTACCATTAGTGTTATCAAGCGCTTAGTAGCAAAGTCTTTTTTTAGTAGCTTGCAAATCTATAATTTCAAGAGAAAAAATATCACACCTCAGTTTTGCAAATTTTCTCGATTCTGATTGGCTAATATTTTTTCTCAAATCAGTTGGAAGGTCTGCATGTTCCCCCTCACTACCCCCCTGTATTCAAGCCCAGCCCTTGGTTTACATATTTATTTGAACAAGTTGATAACATCCTTGATAACTTCCTTCCAGCTATTACTTCATACATGAAAAACCAAGTTGGTCCAAGCTCTCGTCTCCTGTCCTCCCTCAAAGCTGTCAAAGACATGATGAAAGAAAAAGATGATGTGACGATAGTTGGTTTCTTCAGCGATGAAAAAGATCCACTTCTGGAGAAATACCTGGATGCTAATAACGATATTCGTGAAGAATATACCTTTGTACACACCTTTGATGACGCAGCAAAGAAGTTTTATGATATCAAGGAAAGCTCTATCGTTTTATTTCAACCAGAGAGATTCCGCTCGAAATATGAACCGAAGCACTTTGTATTCGAGGTAGGCGTTGCATGACTGTGTTGACCGTATAACTGTTAAAAGCTCACGGCACGAACACGGTCGTAACACACCTAGGTGTACGCCAGACCAATCGCAATGCGCGAGAATTATTTATACTCCATGCAATTAAATTCTCGGAACACAGCAAGAACACGGCACGGACACGGTCATGTTAAGGCAACGGCAGTTCCAGACCAATCACATTGCGGAAGAAAGAAATCGACCAATCAAAATTCTAGAAAACATTACTGTCGCGGTTTGGCATGCATACGGCACTGAGCTTTTCACAGTCATACGAATACTGCACTAATGGGATGATAATGGTGATATACAGCTATATATGACTGACTATACTGGGCTTTGATATTCCTACTCATGTTCTCTTATCTTCAGGGCAAAGAGGCAACTCCAGAGAAACTTCAAGCATTCTACAAAGAAAAGATGGTGCCTCTTGTTGGGCAAATCAATACATATGACCAGGAAAAGAAATATTCCGCAAGACCATTGTGTGTGGTGTACTATACTGTAGACTTTGGATTTGATAACAGAGTTGGTAAGATTTACCACTTCATGTTTGTTTTATGGTTCTGTTGTTGATGTTGCTGTTGTTTGTAATGTTGTGTCGTTGTTTATGGTTTTGTTGCTTCAGGTACTATACGTTGTTGGTGTTGTCGTTGGTGTCGTTGCTCTAGTTGGTGTTGTCAGCTATTTTTGCTGTTGCTGTTGTTTGCTGTTGGTGTTGAAGCTGCCGAACGTTTTTGCTTTTGTTAACTTTGTTAATACTTCTGCTATGTTTAATCATGCGCCACATAGTGATTTCAGGGAATGAGAACTTTAAAATTAACAATATTATTCGACAAGAGAATATGAACTAAGAGAAGGAATCCTACCTATATAGCCTTGTAACCATTATGTGTACAGTTTGATGCTATTTTTAGCTTGGAGATATTTTGAGCGAAGAACCTGATTGGTTGATTTCTTGAGGGTAGGCGGCTTCCAGACTCGCAGTAAACAAAAGCCTGTGTTTTTGTCGTGGACGAAACGAAATATGGCGCTTTTCGTGTTCAAAAACGAGGCATTAAAGGGAAGCATGATTATCGCGCGGGTATGGTAACGAGTTAAAAATAGCATCAAAGTGTGCACATGATGGGGCACGGGAATTCCTTCTCTTGGTTCATTTTCTCTTGTATTCGATTAATACCTGTCTAGTTTTTGTTTTTTTTCCCCCTTGTGTTGTTTGTTTTTTGTCGTTGTTTTTCCCCCCTTTTCCCCTGCCTTATGGATGCAYTAGACTCTAGTTTATTCGTTTTCTCCTGTATACATTTTCTTATTTTTGTGTTATTATAACTTTAGTTTTTGTTAGTTGGGATTAACTTTGATGAGACCTTATGTCCTTTAGTTGTTCCCTCACTCAGTCTATCTGTCTTGTACTTGTATTTTCTTGCATTATTTTTTTCTCTCTTTACCATGATTTTTCGTATATTGTAACCTTTGTATTTTGATTGAGTGGAAGTCTCCAAATAAAAATTAAAATAAATAAAAATAAAATTCTTTTTTTTCCCTTAGCCACTCAGATCTGGCGCAAAAAAGTAGTGGAGGTTGCAAAGGATCACAGAGATATCACTTTTGCTATCGCCAACGAAGACGATTTCCAGGATAAGCTAAAAGACTTTGGTCTAGATGACTCCGGCGAAGAGATCAACGTGGGTTGTTTTGATAATAAGGGTAAACGATACCGTATGGACCCAGAAGAAGAGTTCTCTGAAGACTCCTTCAGGGAATTTATTGAAGAATTTAAAGCTGGTAAGTTAGGCCACGTTATATTTAAGTTACACAACGGTCATTTTCAAAATGGTTAGGCCACTGTATTAGCTTTCGTTTTTCCGAGGTACGGTACATTTCTTGAACTCCCTGCTAGCAGAGTCTCCCTCGTTGGCGATTCTTGGCAGAGAAAATAGGAGACGTCTACTATTTTCTCTGCCAAGAATCGTCAACGAGGGAGACTCTGCTAGCAGGGAACATCTTAAATCGAGTTTCACCTTAATTTGTAGCTTCATATTTTGCTACAAGTGCTCTCAGTTCATCTCACAAATCTTTGGGTCATTCATCAACTTTGAAAAACATTATTACGAAGGTTATAGTACCTCAGCAGAAGTTATGAAACTTTACGGAAAATTTTTATTATTTATTTTCCCACATACTGCCGCTTTTGGGACTCGACCTTCAAGTAGCTTTCCACTCGAGAGGTTGTCACAGGCGGCTACTGCTATTTTCACAGACATAACTGTACCTGTCTTTTTTAGGTAACCTCAAGCCCGTCATCAAATCTCAGCCCGTCCCCAAGTCTAACAACGGACCTGTCAAGATCGTTGTCGGCAAGAATTTCGATGACATCGTCATGGATACATCAAAGGACGTCCTCATCGAGTTCTACGCCCCATGGTGCGGACACTGCAAAGCACTCGAGCCGGTTTACAAGAAGGTCGGCAAACACTTTAAGGATAACAAGAATGTGGTTATCGCCAAGATGGACGCCACAGCTAATGATGTTCCAACTGGTTACACTGCAGAGGGATTCCCGACCATTTACTTCGCCACAGCTAAGGATAAAAAGAATCCCATTAAGTTTGAAGGTCAAAGACAATTAGACGACTTTATCAAATTTGTCAACGACAAGGCAACGGTTTCCAAAGCATCCAAAGAAGAGCTATAGTTTTTGTATTTAATAATTAATAATTTGAAATATCGATAAACAAGAAACATTATTTCCGCGAACGAAAATAAAGGTTGTTTTTGTACACTTAGGGGAAAAAACATGCAAAAAAGAAGTTTTAAGCAAGGTCGCTCACACTGCGCGCAAAGGTCCTAGTTTTACCCGTCTACAGCGCGGAAACAAATGAAACCACTTCCACTCTCGCTCTTGGCTTTACCTGCCTACCTGAACGGGAACAAATGAAACCTCTCCCCCCCCCTAAAGTTTTTGAGGGGAGGGGCTGGAGACCTCTGAATGCAGCGTAAGGTCTTTTTCATCAGATGGTACAAAATGACCTACCGTCTGCCTTTTCTCTCTTCTTTGTAACTCGATTTTCTCGTGGACTTTAAAATACAGGTAGCCCAATGATCTATTTGTGATACACTACAAAGAACTGAGGAATAAACGTCTGCGATGCATTTTATAAAAACTGTGTCTTGATTTTAAAATACGACTACAATTGATTTCAATAAAGCAATTGATGACCACGAAAAACTGAATCACATTACTTTCATTGACGACTCTTTAAACGTGTATGCGGGCTTAGCCTCAAATCCAGGAGTGGTTTGGTTTTGTTATTCTAATTTCTGCATGCTTTTGTTTACCAACCTCAGAAGTGAGGCTTAGCCCGCATACACTGAAGTTTTAAGAATCGTTAATAGATCAAATGCAAAACTAGCACCGATGTGAGGCTTAAGTTGTGGACCAATGGATCTGGCGTGATTCAAAGAAATCTGGCGTGATTCAAAAGTCACGAATCATGCCAGATCCCTTTGTTCACAGCAAGCCTCACATCGGTGTAAGTTTTGCATTTGTTCTATACTAGTACTGTTTAACTCAAACAATCTTCATAATTATTCGCAATAGGTTATTTTAAAAGGCCAGAAGTATTGGGTTGTTGTAGGGGCATATTGAGTTTTTCCCATGAGGAGGGGAATCACTCTCTCCACTAATACAGCCCCCAGTAACAAATCGTCCTTCTCTCCCTCTTCTCCCCAAGCGATATGGACGTTTACAAACTGACACAGCCACAAGAAAAGGACTGACAAGAAGACTTGACATAGAATTTATCTTAAAGATCGATTGCTAGAGTCTGTTGGCTTTTCGACGAAAACACATCATCTTTTATTTATAACTCGAAAACAACCTGCATGTGTCAATAGCAAGATAAGTGAACCACATCTTATCGTAGACTTCATGATAATTTGTACGTCCGCCTTCCTCCCAAATTAAAACAGTACACATGTCTAGCTCTACTGAAAAGAAAAAAGAGAGCCTATACCCACCACAATAAGTGATTCATGTTTAGGGTAGGGCACAACACGTTCCCTGGCGCCCTTAGTTTCTATATTGTTTTGGAAAAACAAATAGTCAGTCATGCTTATTTATTAGCGTTGAATATAAACGAAAAATATTACTGTCTGTAAAAATGTCACTATGTAGAGTCAAGTTCATAAAAACTGCGCTATTTCTTTTTCACACCTGATTAATCTATAAAAGAAAGAAAGCAAGAAGGAAGAAAAATCAACTTGAGGCGGGAAATAAAGCAAAATTACAGTAAAAACAAGTTACACTTCATAATTTCCCGCGCTTTTCTAATTCTCGAGGATTCAGAATTTTCGAAACAAAAAAGCAAAACAAATTAAAGAAAGAAAAGAGAAAGAAAGAAAGAACGAAAAAAGAACTAAAGAAAGAAAGAAAGACAGAAAGGAAGGAAGGAAGAAAGAAATAAAGAAACTGAAAACTTTGAAAACAGTTCGGTGAGAAAACAAACCGCACCTGTTATATGATGGTTGCAAACAAGATTAACATCAAAACTACAATAACAAAATCAATGTATTCGATTGGCTAATACAGATGCATACAATCCTGGATGATGCATAATTGAAAACTGACGTTCCGGTATTAAAACCCGACCCCCCAAAACAACCAACACATCACATCACATGAACACCACGGGACACTGTGTAAGGCTGACATTTTATTTCAACATCTGTTGAACCTAAACTGACTTCAGTTTTGCTCTCGAAGTTGCTGTCATGTCGGACAAACCGTCAGAAACCAGCGCCGCAGGAAAAAAACCGGCTCCCACGGCCGCAATTCAAAATCAAAGCCCGGGGAAAGCCGAGCCGGAAAAAGGAAAGCCAATGGCAGTTTTGAGCGACGAAATGAGGATTCTTAAAGTTTTGTTAGGATTTCTAAAATATGCCGGAGCAGCTCTATTAATTTGGTTTTTTGGATGGTTTGGATTTGGTTTCACGTGGATTATTATTGGGTCACTAATTTTTACGTTCTGGATGAAAAATCAAGAGAAGAAAACAAAGAAAAAGGCCATTGCAAGGGATGTGGCTGAACACGAGGAAACAGCAATTGAAGCAAGGATAGATGAACTGCCTGCTTGGGTAAGACTGAATGGAATTTTTTTTATAGTACCGGCACAGTTATTTTAGTTACTGTGGAATAAAGTTTATTCCAAGCAAAAAAAAAATTTTTTTGAAAAAATCTTTCCTGTTTTTGATAAAAATAATTATGCTTTTCTTATCCTGAATTAACAAACATTTAAGTGTTGGACAACATGCATTGCCTGGGCAAATATACAGACTGTATGTGCTTTTTATCTCAGGCCGAAAAAAATCCATATTTTTCAAAATTGTTATATAAATGAAAGGGGATTAAAACAAAGATTTCTAATTTTTCATCATCAAATAATATAATATTTTTTTCTGTCATTAATCTGCTGTATTTTTAAAAGTTTTTCATCAAGGGCATTTATAGGAGTTTCTGATGTTGCGAAAGTCACGTACGATAATCTAAAGATTTCGACATTGATATTTGATTACGCCCTGGACGGTTTATGCGAAAGAATAGGGTCAGCTATACAATTATTAGTCTTTTAACTATAGAATCGCGTATAGCTTGCTTCTGATATTAATTACCGACTCAAATTTGGCTAGCAGTAAGCGTTACTACCTGTAACTGCTACACTCCGGACGCTAGAAGTGGACGTGACCTAAAAATAGATTTGTTCTTTTCACTTTCACTCTCACCTTTTGAAAATTCCAAATTTTCGTTATGCTTCTTTTTTTTCATCACTTAGACTCTCATAAATTATATACATATGTACTGATTCGATTTATTTTTCATTCTGATAAGAAAAAAGAATATTTTCCCATACATTTGATGTACTGACAAAGAGCAAGTTAGTCTGTCACGCTATTATCAGTGTGACTCTTACATGTGACAGACTTACGTGACATATGAAGTAAGTCTCGAGACGTGCGCTTTCTGGACTAGAACAAAGATGGCTGCAGAAGAGAAGACAGTGTCTGTGGATGCTCCTGATGTAAAGCCATCTTCTCAGCCCCCAGTCCCATCAACAGACGAAAAAAAGCCTGAACCGAGCTCGGAAAAGAAACCAGGACCCGCCATTAATGTTGGTATTGTGAAATTCGCTGTAAAATATCTCAAATTTGTCGGCGTTGCTCTTGGGATTTGGTTCATGGGTTGGCTGGGTCTGAGCTATGTGTGGGTTTTTTGCGGCCTTTTGATTTTTATGATATGGCGAATGAACAAAGACGAGAAGAAGAAGAAAAGATCAAGTCTACAAGAAGCTGCAGATAACGAAGATGGCGCTGTTTCGGCCAAAATGGAAGACCTTCCTGCGTGGGTAAGCTGTCTTAAACTACTAGACGAATTTTCTAGACTAGTAACAGAACCAGTCAAGTAAAAAAACTCTTTTACAAAGTCTTCCAACTCTTTCGTTGTAATATTTACTAATATTGGATCTCCGGTGTTTTAAAAGTGTTGGTCTCCACTGAGTTTGAAAACAACTGAATTTGCACTTCAAAACTTAAGTGCTATTTTCCCAACACGTTGTTTCTTGTAAGATGTGTTTTTTATGAAAATATAAACTCATTATAAATTAATGACATATTAGCCCGCTATCAGTAGCAAAATAATATTACTATCCCTTCCTGAAGAGTGCCATTTGATAACATACCGCGTTGTGCTTTTATAAGCTAGAATTTCAACTGACTTTTTCATAAAAAACCTTAGCTTAGTGAAGTAAAAACTTGGTAAAGTTGGTGAAAAGTTGTAGAGACGTGGCTTTTTTCACTAGTACTGGTGACTTCGCTCAGTTTGTCTTTCTAGGCGTGACCAATATATTTTGAAACCAAGAAACCTTCATTTTTATTTTATTTTGATGAGATAAAATTTATTTATTTTTGTATCTTAGTAAACTGTTATAGTACAGTGCGTTAGTACTACGGTTGTGAGAAAGTGTTGTTTGTTAACTAGTACTGATTCTCACCACATGGCCTCTGTTTATCGGTATGGGGGGGGTTAAATCCTACTAAGACAAAACAACATGAACATTGAGCAACATCCTATATTTATGCTTGCTTTCAATACATGATAATTAATTCTAGGAAGGGTTATGCTTGCACATATATAAATATTATTGTACTTGTCTTCAATACCTTTTAAAATTACAGTGTAACTTCACATGCTGTGTCTTAATGAGAGTGCACGGCTGCCTTAAACAAGTTCCTTAATCTAGCAATACATAAAAAAGAAATCCTAAATTGAAACTTTTGTGGTTGGAAGATTGCTAAATAAGACAGCGTCTGTATCCATAACGCAAGTAATATGTTTGTGATACCGAGCAATAAGAAACAGGGAATTTTAGTTTTGAATGCCAAATGAAAGTAAAAATGACAAATGCAAATTTAGGTGCCAATCATTAGTTGTTGGAAGTATTTTAAATAAGACAATGTCTGTGGCTAGATGGAAATTAGGATAACATGTAAAAATTTGAATGTGAAATCCCATTTTTTTTGCCAAAAAATACCCTATGTTTATAGCAAAAAAAATTCTCTCTATTGCGTATTGAACAAATGAAACTTAAAATATTAATTTTATTTACCTTGGACGTATTTTGTTTTCTTTTTTCTCTTTCATGCATTTACTTTTTTAAGGAAAGAGCTTATTGTTCATTGGTAATACATGACTACAGCTGCTAACAATTCATAATTAAAGTTTAATGGATACACGAAGGAAAAAAAGGAAAAATTGCGAAAGGAAAAAAATGAAAAAATGTGCTAGTTGAGCCTAATTTCTGTTTATGTCTCTGAGCTATGAGTGTGTGTGCCTTTCCCACAAGACTTAAACAGCTGTTTACATCAGATAAGGTCACAAATATTTTCTAATGCTTAAGAAAACCTTGATAAACAAGCAAATAATGTCTGGTCGCTAGGAAAATAGTTTTGTTTTCCTGATAGACAAGACTTAAACAGCTGTTTACAACAGATAAGGTCACAAATATTTTCTAATACTGAAGAAAATCTTGATAAACAAGCAGATAATGTCTGGTCGCTAGGAAAATTGTTTCGTTTTCCTTGTTTTCCTGATAGTCTCAATGTTTCCCGAGGCAAAGCCTTTTCTCAATGAAAGTCTGTTTTTTCTCTGTAGAAACACTAAATGTCTGTTATTTTGCTTTGAACTCCATTTGTACTTAAAGTTCCAGCAAAATATTCCTCCCATTTTGTTGTTTGCGATAGGTGCAAAATATAATGCCACCAGCTTTTTTCTCGTTCTGATCATGTGCACTTGCTTATTTTCACCATTCTTATCACATGCAACTTATTTCCTGAGGGTAAATAAGTAATTTATTTTCCAGTCATGATACATTTAGATTTAGCTAGTGTCATAATTCAACCAATGAGAGTGTTTGTTGCATACCAGAAAATTTCATCGCTATATAACAAATATATTATTATTCACTATGATAGTGAAATTAAAAGTATCCTGTAGTTAATTATTATTATACCACAAGAAAATCATTATATTTGTTTGTCAGTAGTTATGATGTCAAACAGGTACATTTGTCAGAGGCTAGAATAATATATATTATACCATAGCAGGTAATACATTCTTAATGCCTTTATCCAGTATTTTCACAAGTTAATGTTTTTAACAAATTTTAGAACTAGTTTAATGGTTTTTACGTTTTAAAAAATTCTGTAAGTTATAAGATTTTGGAAGCTTTTACATGTACATACATTGTACATACTTTAATTTATCTTCTTTGTTCTTAATTATGGGTTAGATAATTTATGCTTAAAATTTTGTTTATGAAATAGTTGAGAGGAAGCTTGTTTAGCTAATTTTATGCATATTTATGACACATAAAGTATTTTTTTAAATTAAAATAATAGACCTTTATACAGATACCGCAGCTCAACATCAGCCTCGTCAGCATGTAATATATTCTTTAGAAATTGCCTACAACCTGTGAAATTTTTAAGTGTTTCAATTGTTCGTTGATGTGTGAATTCCTTTCATTACTGCGGACTGTAGTCAAATTCTAAAGAATAATTGCACCCTGATGAGGCTGAGGTTGAGTGACGGGGAGTAACGGGATCCGTGAAATGGCCTATTACGAATAAACTTCAACTGTTATCAATACACTGAAACAGCCTCTGGGCTGATTAAAGTCAGGACAGAGCTACAGTGATTCAAAGATCTAATTGGAATTTAGCATAGGTTTTGTGGAGGGATGAAAACCAGAGAAAACTGGAGAAAAACCCTCAACTAAAGGGAGAGATCTTCACTCACATGTTGTTGTCAACCTTCCAAAATACACATCAAAAACTGGCAATTATTGTCAACAATTATTTTATAAAACAAACAAAAATCTATATGTTCAAAAAATCAAAAAAAAAAAAAAAAAAATCAAAGTATATTCTAACAAATCTCAGTTTTCGTTGTAATTATCATTATTCATTTTCTCTCTCATTAGTTTATTTTAACTTCCATTCATTATTGGTTATTCAATTAACATCAATTTCAACAAGTCAGTAACGATTATTAATTGTTATTATTCATGTCTGTCATATTATGCCTGGTCAGATTATCAATATGATAAATAATAAATAAAAAGAAATGAGAATATTTAAAATGATTTTTCAACAGAATAAGACTGAAGCGAGATGACTTTTTACCCCCACCTCTATACCATAATAGTTTTTATAATTCTTTCATGTTAAAATTTTTGATTCCTTAGAGAATACAGGAACAATAGTCATRATTAAAGAACAAAAGCAATGTGAAAAGGATTATGGTCTAGAGACGGGGGTAAAACGTCATCTCACTTCAGGCTTATTCAACTTTTTTTGACATCATCTGAGAATGTGAAAGTCTTATTTTACCTTTTTACTTTGCCTATTGCCTTTTTACTCGATACTTAATTACTCTACATTTTATAGAAAAATTTATTTTATCAAACTTATTGTACTTGTCGATTTTCTCTTGGTTTTATTTTATTTTGCTTATTGCCTTTTTACTTGATGATTACTCCGATCCCTTTGTTAAAAAAAAAACTCACAATTTTTTTTGCTTATTATCATGTTAATTTTCCCTCTTTAATTTTGATCTATAAATTAAAATCATTCCAGGCATTTTAGATCCCAGAAATTGAGATCAAAAGCCATGCCTAAAAGCAGAGTTTATTTACACATTATTATTTGGAAATCCCCTCGGGAGACAATTGGATTTCAAGTGACCTTTCTCTCAAGAGAAAAAGGCATTATTTATGCAAATGAATAGGCTCAATACCAGCCTGCTTGGTCACATGTCAAAAAGACATCAAAATATAACCTTTTGTGTTTTGAATGAATTTCAATGAGATAGTGTGGTTTGTGAGGTCTTGGCTCTAGATTTTCAACAACGTTTTCTTGAACATCTTCAATATGTGTTGCTCTTGGATTATCAACTTCTTCAGGCACTTATTTTACTCTGATGGGTGCAGTGTTCCTCCACCAAAAGGCAGAAATAATCAGGTTAAACTGGAGATATAATTTATCGAAAATATTTTTATCCTTTACTGTAATATTCTGTTTTTTCTTTCCCACCTTTTTGTTTGCTCTTTTTTGTCACATCTTATCATTTTATTTTCCCTGTTTAAATCGACCTATGAAAAATATTATTAATGTATTTATGAATTTCAAGTTATTTCTCAGACCTTGGGTGCAACCGATTTTGACAACAGAATTGCATGCTCACATAATAAATAGCTCATTCTGAAAGCTTCTGAATGTGTCATATTACAAAAAGGTTTTCTCCTTTTTTTAGCTTTTTTTACTGCAGTCTTATATAAGTAGCAGCTAAAGCATTCTCTATATTGTGCAAATAATTTCTAGATATTCTATTAAAGTGAGAAATATATGGGGTTAAATTCAAGGCCGTATTAGATCAGCTGTTTTCCAGCCAGAATTAAAACAAAAGAGGAGATGAAAAATGTCACTAAATATTTGATTCTTTTTTAAATCTTTGATATTTCACTAAATTAATTCCCTCTGGTATCTTTTTTTATTTAGTAATTATTATTTATTTTGTTTTGCTGTTTTTTCAGCAGTCTATCTCCACACAATCCTCATGAAACTGAAGCTTTTTATGCTAATGGTTTTTTCTGCAGCCAAATTTGAATACAGCTGTCTTGTTTGCTTTGATAAATTGACAGGAAGCTAAAAAATTTCTGGTTCTTTTTTTGTCTTGCTAATGCTTGGAATTAAGACTCGATATCTAATGTTCATAAAAAAAAAAATTTTTTGTGAGTTTTCTTACATAGGTATTATCTATTGAAGTTTTAAATTTTATTGTGAATATATATATAGAGTATGTTTGAAGTGCCAAAGCAACATAAATATAGCCCTAAGCGATGCACCCAATTACTGTATAGTTTGATTTGTTACTGTCATTCTATTTTCTTTGAGTGTTTTTCCCYAGAGTGTGTTGAATTATACCCTGTGCACATGAATGTATATGCTTATATAATGTCTTTACCTCTTATATACCACAGGTGTTCTTCCCAGATGTCGAGAGGGCAGAATGGCTAAACAAGGTAGAGAATAAATATTTGATTAATATTAATTATTAAAAAATAAATGAAAAATGAATTATTGGTTAATCCAGATTATGATCCCTTAATTTTGAATAATACTGTCTATAACTTTTTTAAGATCATGAAATGACATTAGTAACTAGGCAACAGCATTAGAGTAATTTAACACCTTGTTGATTTTTGTGGTAACTGATATTGTGGAAAAAGCCATTTGGTCATTCAATTGTAATGAAAATTTCTTATCCTTCTTATCTTGCTGACGGAGGCTGTGGATTAGCCTGAAAGGCCCAATTTTAGTCCTGGTAACTTTAAAAAGTATCAAATAACAGCTTTTCAAGCGATTTCTGGCTACAAATGAAAGCCTTTTATAAGGAGAAAAGCAAAAATGAATTAAAAGATACTAAAGTATTAAGGATCCTGACCAGTAAAATGTGTTTATTTTTTCACATAAAATTTATATATTTGTCTTGATTTATCTTAAAGTAAGACAAATCTTTAAATCAAGAAAAAGTTGAACTTCAATCTGGTTTGGTAAAACAAATATATCCTGCTTATTGCTTTAGGGAAAAAATGAATTGTAAATTTAAGATTTTTTGTTAAATCAATTCTAAGATTTTTTTAGCAGACTCACAGCATTTCAAAATATATTATATAATATAATTTCACAAACGTGTGCTCTGATTGGCTGAAAATCTATGTTTTATCAGAGTATAAAAATATAGATATGACGTCAAAACCATGTTTTCTATACAAAATTAAAATAGAAAAGACATAAGTGAGTGATTTCTATAACCTTTTGAGTGTTCTACAGCTTCAGGAGTGTTTTATCAGAGAACAGAACATAGCTAAGCCTGATCTATTTGTTAAATAGTGCAATATTAAAGCTTGTGTATATTAGGTGTCTAAAGTTTATTTAAAGAGAATCATTTTAATATTAAATGCTTACTAAAATAATAGTGAAAAGCAAATCTTAGAATTTGTATAGGAAATATCGTGCGATTTTTTGTTTATAGTTCACTTAACAAAATTTCAGTAAAAAATGCGAAGTGACGCTGCTCATCTTTGTCTATTTGGCGGCCGATTTTCAGTCCATCGTGCAACTGAAATGCATAAGAAAGATTAGTTCTTACAGCTTTAAAATTTTATTTATATGTTTTTTAAGTACAAAATGATAGAAAATGATTGTTTTGACATTTTTTTTGGCCGTGTTGCCATAGCGACTTAATTCGGTACTCCTACGGAGTACAATTAACGCTATAATAATTGTACTCCTCTCGACCAATCAGAGTCGAGTAACTTTGTTGAGTGTTCTATAAAAAAAAGAATTGTTATCATTTGAATACTTATGTGCTGAAATAATGAAAAATATTTGTATCTTTCTAGAAGATAAAGTTGTAAGTCTACATATCTGATTGTTCCATGTCGAAGTGGAATTTTGATAAGCCAACCATTTCAATTTTCTTTCTTTTCCATAACAGATGATTGTCCAGCTTTGGCCCTACATCAATGACATGGTCATCAAGATCTTAAAGGAGAAGGTTGAGCCAGAGATTCAGAAAAATGTCCCTGGTTTTTTGAGTTCTATTTATTTTGATGAGCTCAAGCTTGGTGATCAGGTAAAATAAGCAACTTATTTATGGCAGCTTTGAATATGGTACTTATCACTTTTGCTGTCATGACAACAGTTTAGACTTCTTTGACAATGCGGCAGCCATCTTGAATCACAAGGCATTACAGGTCATCCAGGAGGCAAATAGACAAAGCTTTGTTACAATAATGGAGTCAATTGACATAAAAATATAATTTGAAAAGAGATGAATTAAAAAAATGGACAGTTCCATGAATGAGGATCGTCATTTCAGCATCTTCGTTTTGTTTTGTCCCCAGAACGGCCCATAATGCCTTGTGATTCAAGACCACCACCACATCCTTGAAGTAGTCCATTGTACACTTTTTTGGCTGGCATATTATGTTAAATTAGCCTTTCCAGAACTAGCTTGAGTGACCATTAAACGATAGACTCGATAAAATACAGTCAATGTGTGAACACATCAAGTCCAACCTCGACGTGGAGCCATTGCTTTGAGGTCACTCAAGACATTGAGAAAGTTTTATTACATTAGCTTTATCTTTCTTTGTTTTACCAATAAACAAAGAAACAATACTCAAGGGAATTCCTCATGGTTTGAAATGAGAGGCACTGTACCTATTATGATTATATATAAAGAGGTGTATTCTAACAATGAAGATTAACAGTTTATATCTTGATTACAGCCACCACGCATTGGAGGTATCAAGACTTACACTCAGAATGTCAAGCGCTCTGAGATTGTTATGGATGTTGATCTTATGTGAGTCATTCCTTACTTTTGAATGTGGCTCTCCAGTGATGTTTGGGTTACCTGTGTTTTTTACATCAGATACCATCAGATATTAAGTATTAAATGACCTTCCGCGAAATACACATTCTTTACAATTCTTTAATATACTACGCACTCAATTTCCCATGTATTACGACAAGGACGGATCCAGGGGGCAAAGGGGGCTAAAGCCCACCTCCCTTCAGCAGAAAAAAAGGATGCTTTTTTATATTGTTTTTCGTTGTGTTGACGGAAGAAACTCAATTAGGCCCCCCTAAACTCAGTTAGTCCCCCCCTAAAATTTTGGCTGGATCCACCCTTGTACGACCATTATTTGAGTACAATTACAGAACCATAATAGTTATACACAGTCTGTCAACCAGTCTGTCAACTGGCTTTGAACCATTTTCTTTTTGCTAATGACATTGCGAGGAAATTTGTGTGGCTCACGTAATTGGTTTGAGTTCGTGACTTTCAAGTTTGCTTGTTTACAATAAAATAGTTGTTTTCATGCACAGCTCTTTCTCAGTTTTTCCGCTTCGTTCAAGAAATAATTTATTACACTGCTAGTTGTGTATTACAGCTGGATAATTTTACTCGTGAAGCTGTATTTTTTCTCACCCCAGGGCTCTAAAAATATATGGCCGCTTTCACTCTTAAAATTATCCGGCTGTAATGCACCACTAGCAGTGTAATATTACCTCTATGTATTGAATTTTTAATTGTTTTTCTGATCTTTCTTAATTGGCATATATTACTTAGTATTCATTGTATTTGTTGTTTTTATTTAATCTGATCCACACAACTCATTAGGATATTAGAAGAACTCATAAAACTGAGATATACGAATTCACTCTAGATCTATTACCTCCTCTTGAGAATCCCAATACCCTATAAATACTCATTGTTTGTCTAATAAAGATCATTTGTTTGTACTTTACAACAGATATGCAGGAAACTCGGACATTAGACTATCTGTCAAGGGGATGTCTGTGGGTATTGAAGACTTGCAGGTACAGTAGACATATCATTCTAAAAAAATCTTTTTTAACAGTTCAATTAAAATGCATACATGTTTGAAGAAATAGGAAATGTTTGTGCGTGGTGTGTGCAGTCATAAAGCACGCACTGATTGAAGGAACACTAGAGAAGTGTTAGGAGAAGCATGACATGTAGCTGAGTGCTTCTCAACACTTGTGTTTTTCGTGTTAGTTCATTGTTAATAATCTGTTTCTGTTTCATTCTCTTTCCAGCTGCGTGGTACTCTAAGAGTAATCTTGAGTCCACTCATTCCTACATCTCCATTGGTGGGCGGGGTATCAGTCTTCTTCCTCAACAGACCAGTAAGTTCATTACCCAACATTAAATATGGCTGTTTTTCATTCTCAACATTTTGGTTGAAATTATCAACAAAAATATTATTCATGAAATAACAAACATAATGATATTTTTTTCTTTTTTTTTTAAGGATATTGACTTTGACCTTACCAATTTGTTGAATATTCTAGACATTCCTGGTTTGAGGTTAGTTCCAGCATTGGTGCACATTATTTAGTTCGTATCAGAAATTTTAGACTCCAAATCTATTTTAAAGATTGATCTAATTTTAAGCATTTCATGTCCTGTGGTAATCTGCTTATTGTTCATCTCACATTTTTGGTTACAATAATTGTCAGTAACGAATATATACATTACCATAATAATCCGATCTCTCCCACCACTCTGTGCAACATCTGTTAATATTCCCATTTAAATCTTTGAATTTTCAGAATGATTTTGTATTGTCATTCACACCCCAAGTGAACATCAAGTAAATTGTCACATTTGACTCTCGACTGGCTGTTTCACAGGCTTAAATATCTGTTTTTCCCAATAGTTTCCATGCAGAACACCGCTAGCCTTAAGTAACAGGGCTTAAAATAACTGTCAATCATTTGCCGGTCATGATCACAGGTCAAATTAGTTTTAGCTTAGTCATAACTTATTTCTGGTGCAACATTACTGGTCAAAATGACCAACGACGCAAAGATTTGACCAGACAAGTTCCAATTCTAGACAGACATCGTCTGATGTCCAGCTGTTATTTTAAGCCCTGGCCTTAGGACGTTTAGGAAAACAAATCAACCAGGTTCTTTGATTAATTTCTTGCAGTGACATCATAAGAGGAGCTATAGATGACGTAGTTGCATCATTTGTAGTCTTACCCAACAGGATCACTGTCCCATTAACTGATATTGACCCATATACTCTCAAATTCCCTCTCCCTGACGTAAGTACCAGTAATATTATTATTATTATTATTGATATATTAACCATTTGACTCTTGGGGAAAAATATAACACGTAGGCTTCCCCCTATCCCTGGACAGTTGTCAAGAATTCATGACAAAAAATAACGCGTAAGATAAACTATATAAATACAGAAATAAGATATAGCTTCCAAAAAAAGTTTATTCAAAAAAGAGGTAAACAAAAGACCTAACRATGCCAAACATTTTACCAGAAATATTCAAAAAGTCTAAAATGAGAAGTTCAAAAATGCATAACACAATTTTTTACCAAATGTTCAGCAAAGGGAATTCATACAAGCACTAAACAAAAGCAAATAACAGCAAACATTGGGTGAAAATAATTCATACAAATTGAAGTTAGAACAGTATAAAACTATGAAACAATAGCCATGTATGTATGTTATAACTGATATGGCTGATAGTTTGATGACTGATGGTTGATGGATGCTCAATGATTGTCAATGGACACATTTAGTATAATCTGGGTGTAAAGTTTCTAGACCAGGGGGCTCAAATTTGTTATTCCATATAATTTGTAGATTTCTTACCCAAGCTAGACCATCCGCCTGCTGTATTGACCCCATTCTAGTTGTGTAATAACAGGTTTGCCTGACTACATACATATGCACAGTTACCAATGGGACCCCAGGCCATAATCAGGCCATCCCCTACCCCTGGGTATGCTTGTCCTAGCTATCCTCTTCAAGCAAAAAGCAACTTTATCAAACTCTGGAACAGCTCGTAGGCTAATCTACATCAAGGCTAAACCTTGGAATGACAACAATAAACCTCATAGTTTAACACTGCAAGTAACACAGGCATGGGTGTAGTCCCTCTAAGGAAAATGTGTGATGTTTATTTTCAAAGGGCGTACTTCGTATCCACGTTATCGAGGCTAAGGACCTTGTGAAGAAGGATATTGGTGTGTTTAAGAAAGGTTCCTCCGACCCATATGCAGTTATTACAGGTAAACTCATTCATTTGATAACTCAATGCATTCTGTGTAGTTTGCTATAATTATATCTGGGAATCAAGGGTGGTGTAGCAATAGTGCACTTGCCTCTCACCTGGTGACCTCTGGAGTCTGGGGTTGGAAATCCCAAACTCAAAATCACACGAGTTGAGGATTTTTCTCAAGCTCAAGGTGTAGGAAGGGTGGTGATCTCTGGTGTCTCATGTTAGAATTCCCAGACTCAACATCACACAAGTTAGAGTTTGGAAGGTCTCTCACTTGGTGTGAGGATTCGGTGGTGTAGGGTGCAGTAGTGCACTCGCCTCTCACCTGGCGACCTCTGGAGTCTCAGGTTAGAATTCCCAGACTCAACATCACATGAGTTAGAGTTTGGTAGGTCTCTCACTTKGTGTCAAGGATTTTTTCTCAAGGTTCTCCAGGTTTCCACCCTTCGCAAAACGTAACTAACTAAATTCCAATTGGATTGTTTGTCAGCCATGGCCTGACTTTGATCTGCCCTGAAAGGCTGTTATACCTTCAAAACTGGAAATTTTCTCATAAAAGAACATGCATGGCAAATCTATTTGTTGTTCCCTTAGTAAAGCACAGACCTCTAATTCCTTCAATCAATCAATCATTTTAAATTATTATTCCATCCAAGAGATTACATAATCTGTGACTTGAAGAAACAACTGCTGAGCAATTCTGTTATATTCGTTATTAATTGGCAGCAGGCCTAAGCACCAGATTTCTCAGAACACAGTTATTTTGAATTTGCCAGCCAAACTTTGTAGACACACACCTCATTTATAACTCTGAAAAGTGGACTTGTTTCAGGGGTGGAGTGCCCTTAAAACACTATAATATTTTGAATAATACTAAATGATGATGATATTTTTTTTGCTAGAACTAAGTAAAATATAAATGTACATATAAATGCTTTTAAAGATTGCTGTTTTAATCCCTTTTAGTTGGAGCCCAGACGTTCAAGACTGAAACAAAAGAAGAGACTTTGAATCCCAAATGGGATGAAGTTTTTGAGGTTAGTTGAAGGTTGAGGACAATTACCTGACCCTGCACTTGTAAGGATCAGGTTGTTGGCTGATGATCCCTGAAGATACGAGATGGGGTAGGGTCGCATGCCCTCTTAGTGCAAGTCCCCATCATTCTACATCTGTATGAGTAACAATTCAGATGGAAATGACTGGCATGTGTAGACACTTGTTGCTTAACCCGTAGCTCTAGGGATCAAGTTGTTGGCTTGATTCATGCTACATCCGTACCATGCTACATGTACTGTCAGTAGAACAACTATTAACATAGCACCTAGCTCAGATTGAAAAGTTAGTTTGTGGGGCAGTTTGTTGTAGGGGGAGAAAACCATGCTACGTGTTGACCAACCATATAGCTCATCTCAGATCAAAACATTGTTGGTAAGACAGATTGTTGGAAGGGAGGAAAACCAGAGTAGCCAGAGAAAAATCCTCATCGCGAAAGCAACTCAACTAAACTTGCTATTTCCAGGTATTTGTGGACAACAGCCAGGGGCAGAAGATCAAGATACAGTTGTTTGACAAAGATAAAGCATCAGATGATGAATCTCTGGGATCTGTTGAGGCAGATATTAGCACTGTGGTACAACAGGGAAGTGCCGATCTTTGGCTTCCTCTCGAGAATGTTGAAAGTGGACAAATCAACCTGCGCTGTGTTTGGTATACCTTTACCTCCAGCCCTGATGACCTGTCACCCGTAAGTTGTACAGTCAATAACATAGGGCACATGAGGTTTTTGGGGAGAACTTTTTTCTTTTGTTAAGGGATGGAGAATAGATTTGCATACTTTTATACCACTGCTTCCACCCAAAAAGTTTGATTAAAAATCTTAATTTTTTGTATTTTGTTGGCCAAAACATGTGTGCTTGCCTCTTCAACTCTGGTACTCTTAATACTGAGCACACAAACAGAAATGCATGATTTCCCATCATGATGAAGTAGGATTTTGGTAGACCCCAATCAAAGAACTGTGTGACTGCAATGATTGTACCATAATCRTAGTCCTTTAAAGTCCTCCAAAACTGTTTCATGTAAACTGAAACCTTTGTTGTCAATCTCATTTGTTTTGTTGTTGGAAACACAATGTTTAAAGTAACATCTATTAATATAAAGATGTGTACATTTAAAATTGGCAGTACATCTCTTCGTCCCTCATAAAATGAATTTTGTGCCAACATTTAGTTTGATTATATCATTTGCCTAGTTTGCTTGATTATTATTTATTATTATTTATTAACAGCCTGACAAAGCCATCCAAGGAGAGGAAATGTTGGGAACAGCAGCTTTGTTTGTGAAACTGGACTCTGCCAAGAACTTACCTGTAAGAGAATATTTCTTTTGATAATAGTTAGTTTTAATGTCTTCTTAATAATTGATATTCTCTCTGTCAGGTTTTGAGACTTTTTTCATTTCCTATACTAGATTCCTTTTTTAAAATAAATTTATTTGTTGTTGTTGTTGTTGTTGTTGTTGTTATCATTATTGATATCTTTTTCCCCCCATCTAACAGGTAACCAATCCTGCCCGTGGTACCACAAGTGCATTCTGTAAGTTGACTGTTGGTAATAGGACCCTTCAAAGCAAGGTAAATAACAAAACTATTACTTTATTATCTTGTACTATCCTTTGTGAATGCCCTTTCCCCCAGGGCTTGAATGTGCAACTGATTGGTTATCAAACATAACTCAGAACTTTTGTCAAGCTTAGTTAGTGACTAATAATAGTAGACAACCTGCACAGTACTGTAAGTGGTCGGTAACTGCATTTGTTGGCCACTTACCGTTACCTAAGTACCACTATTTTTCCTCTATCTTACCATCACCTAACTGTTAAACCTTACTGACCTTACCGACCAGAGACAAACACCTTACACCTCTTGCTCATTGGCAACTCAAAAAAACTGTTAAGACAGAAAAAAACCTTTGCAATCAGAGTACACATTTTGTAAATATTTCTGAAATAATCATTTTGTTGCAGACAATCCAAGATTCCATCAGTCCGGTCTGGGAGGAGCCATTCCGCTTTTCGATTCATGATCCAAAGTATCAAGAACTGGACATTGAGGTAAGACGTGTAAGAGTACTGTAGTTCCTATCAAAAGCAAGTGATTGGATGCAAGCATGTTTTATAGCATTCTTATCTCAGTTGTATATAAGACACGTTAGATCAAGACAACTTGTAGTGGATATTTGGTTTTGATTGTTGGTAAAAAAAATGATTTTTTCAAACCCAGAGAAAAACAGGGTTTGACAGTAAAAAGCAAGAAATAAAAAACATTTTCATACATGTATATCTATCTGCATATATGTGACACCCAATTTATAGGGTATGAATAGGTCTACAGATATTTGGTGGATTTGACTAATAATTGAGCTAGTCTGGATTTCAGATTTAGGGTGGAGTATTAATGGATTGACTGATCCTGCAAATGTAGTGGATTGTTGATTTATCCATTGTTTTGGTCAGGATTTTTGTTTTTCCCTTGCTAAACTGTAGAGTTTAGATTGTGGACCTCTTTAGAAATGTTTTATGTTCGTTCTTGTCCTCCAGGACAAAAAATACAAGAAGTTGTCAACGAATTGAGTTTGAGCAATTTTTTTTGCGCATTGCTGCTGGATTAGGCATAAGTTTTACCAGATTGAGGAATTTGCCTAACCCAATCCCTTCCCCCCATATTATATGAGCGATCAGTGAACACAGTTTGGTCGTCACTTGGCTAACAGTACTGTATCAACCATTAATTTCAACCAGTTGGCTGAAAGCATTTTTTCTCTTCTCTTGTGGCTTTTAGGTATTTGATAGTGTGAAAGAGAAGAGTATTGGTAAGCTTGATCTTCCTCTTGAACGCTTGCTGAAAGATGAAGACATGAAGTTTGAACAGCCCTTCCCACTCAAGGATTCTGGACACAACAGTACCTTGTCATGCAGCCTTATTCTCAAAGTATGTCAACATAGGCTTGTTTATTATTATCATTAATTATTTTTCCTTGAACCTTGTGGAAATCAAGGGTGGCATTATGGTAGTGTGCTCGTCTCTCACCTCTAGGGCCTCAGGGTTGATTCCTGGACTTGGCTGCCACAATTGCCAGTAGAGTTTGTTAGGTCTTTCCCTAGTTACGAGGGTTTTTCTCTAGCTTTCTTACCTCCAAAAAACCAAGCAGGCTGAATAGACACCCCCACCCATCCCCCCACCACAGCACGCCGGAATGCAGCTCAACTTGGAGGACATAACAATAGGTTTCCATTTCTCATGAGATTGAAATTCTTTTGTCTTCCAAATTGAGCTGCATTGATGTCACATGCAAAGGTTCCATTCTAATTTGATATGTAATTTAGCTGTGCATTGGTTTGAATAAGCCCAATAGGTTTTTTCAAGGCATCAAAAAATATTTTTTTGTCAATCCTAAGTTTGATTAGGTAATGTATCTGTAACATTCTTGTAATGCATATGCAAAGCCTGAGTTACGATTGTCTGTGATGGTCTGACTATGAATCAATGATAATTTGAGCATACATGCAAATTAATGGCTTAAGTTATTCCTGTCATGGAAGTTTTAGCGGTAGCTAGAAGTTTTCAGATGAGAAAATAAAAGAATCAATTTTTTAGGGAAAACCTAGTGAACACAAAAAGTTACCTTGCATATTGGAGTTGGAAGGAGTTGCTAAATTGTAAATTTTGCTAAATTCAAGTCAGACTCTACCTACTACTTTTAGTCTTATGCATACCATGGCCAATTTGTTATGTTTCAAATCAAAGCCCCTACCACTTTTTTTGTGTGTTCCATAGTCCTTGAGTATATTTGAATGTAATTTTAATTGTAATTTTGAATGTTTTTTTAAAAAAATGCATGCATTGATAATTCAAATTAATATTTTTGGATTTGTAGGCATTAGTTACCCGTGAGGATGACACATCTGATGAAGAAGATGGCGAAGAAGAAGAAGCTGGAAAAGAAACATCTGAACTTATCCCAACTAAAGAAGGAAAAGATGAGAAAGGGTAAGACTTGCTACAGTTGGTTCATTGAGACTTTCATTGGTAGAGACTGACATTGTTGGTGGTGATGGAGATGAATAATGCTAAAGTTGAATAAAAGATCATTCACATCTTATTGATACCCTGAAACATCCTCTGAGCTGTTTGAAGTCAGGGCATGGCCAACTCACAGATCAAAATCTGAAACAACCTCTGGGCTGATCTAATTCAGGGCATGGCTAACTCACAGATAGAACCCTGAAACAACCTCTGGGCTGATCTAA